TGATGCAGTACAAGTATAAATACAAATGACAAAGCATTTGTAAATCCTAAAACATAATTAAATCATACGGCACATTTAAGATTTTAATATCGTATTTCAGCCGCGTTTATACTGTTTGGCGCATTCGCTGCGTTATATTCATTTACATGTATATACACAGAAAGCATGTCATTGTCCTTGCAGACCATAGGCAAAAAGCATTTGTCAACCATGCACATACCAAATTTAAGCAATCGTTAAATCATATACATGTCATGGAAAGAATATGGAAATAATGTTGAATGAAAGCTAGCATCGCGTATAATATTAAAAGCACCGCATAAAGTGCTCGAACCACTGCGTATAATTGCAAAAGCATCGCGTATATAAATGGTGAAAGCACCGCGTATAATACTGGAACCACCGCGTATAATGGCGAAAGCACCGTGTATAATGCCAAAAGCACCGCCGTATAATGCTAAAAGCACCCAACAAAATGCCGTTTGATCACTTTAAGCCAGCTATGGCTTTCCATATAAAAAGAAGACCAAAGATGAAACATGATCACATTGCCTGTTTGCCTTATGCTTGACCACGCTGCACCACGGTTAAAATTCACTGGTACCGTCATGCAATGCGCCAAATAGAAAATTTTGATTTCGACCCACAAAACAAAATTAGGATCTGCTGCCTTGCTCGCTCGCTTCAGGCTCGCTCGCTGCGGCAGCAATTAATTGCCAATTAAATTTTTGAAATTCAGTAATCATTAGTGGTGATTGATAAGTGGTCATTCGATATTTTAATCCACGTTCACTTTCTCTTGATATCAAACATTATTAGTGTTGACAGAAAACAATAACTAAGTGGCTATATTTGTAATTGTTGTTGGACAAGTCTGAGCATGTTAATTGGCTGGTCAGCAAAGATATTTAAATTTATGTTACTGTAACAATATTAAATAATTGCAGAATTGGACAACATTATTTTTATTAAACATGTCATCTTTCTCATGACATCTGCGCCATTTTTGACTAATTAATGGGCTCTTGAAAGTAGATTAAAAACGTATTTAAATACTGATCTGATGATATTAGCTGACTGTTTTGTTTGGTACAGATCATGCGTCTCATGCGGGCAGGGCCATACCCATGTCTGGAATAGGGATTTGAGCTATAGTTACCTTTATCGGTGTTTGCAAGTCTTGTCTTACTATGGCAACATCTGTTTCATGACAACCTGAACGATTTGTGAAAGATTTCAAGATTTTTAACTATATTTAAAGAAATCATTAATAATTCGCGAGGAAAATACAAAAGAAATGAATGTTTAAATTATTAATCAATGTTTGTAAATCGGATAAAGATTTGTCCTGATTTACATGAACTTCTGCTTTGATTCTCTCGGCTTAGACAATGTTTATTTTTAAAATTACTTCGCCAATGAACTCATAAGATGGGTCATTCTTTAAGTATGATAAAACATTCGCATCCGATCACTGTATCTGATATACAAACTCTGGCCTTCGGCTCGAGTTTGTATATCAGATACAGATCGGCTGCTCATGCAAGCTTTTTCTAGTACTTAATTATAGTAGAGAGAGATTTAAATTTATTAAAATATTTTAATTAATACTTTAACATAAACGAGTGGATGTATGAACGTGATAATGTTGCTTTAATTTAAGACATATGTAACAAATGGTGTTTGTAAAGTCCTTGCGCGGGCTGCCTATAAATCCGCCTTTGCAGAATATTACATTTCTATATTCAATATTAATTTAATAGGGTCAATAAGTGCTGTATGAGATGATCTCCAGATGTCTATAGCTTAGACAGGTACAGACTTGCCTCGGACATATAAGTATTTTAATTAGTTATTATTAGTAAAAATATAAGTGCTAAATATATAAACAAAATGATACTTAAAGTGAATATATATTCATCAAGAAGGTTCACATTTTGGTTGTCTCTTATAATCATGGCTTTCGTATGTACCTGATTGCTCATCAGAATTAAGATGCGCTGTAAATGCTTAAATTTATCACTTTTGGCAAAATTTCTTCCATTCTGTTCGAGATCCCATACTTAAAGCCGATTGCGCGATCATGCATAATAGACAGATGTAGATCGAGGACGCGGTTGCGGCCATCAAAGACGACGTGATAATGGCGCAAAAATGGCGTGGCGTATCCATACCGAGTCCATGGGCACAACACGCCATTTCCATGTCGTCTTTGACGTCCACGTCCTCCATCTAAATCTGTCTAATATTGTGTTTACGGCAAAGATTATCAGTTTAGTGGAACGCAGCAGGTAGCAAAGCTTAATGTACTATTTAAAAAACGAGCAGGAGTGTTTTATTAGGTTTAAAGCCACGAGCGCGCAGCGCGAGTGGCTTTAGACCTAATAAAACACAACCCGCGAGTTTTTTAAATGACTTCAAAAACGTATGCCTAATGAGTCAAATCTTTATATAAAAATCTTTATATAAAAATCTTTATATAAAAATCTTTATATAGTTTGCATAACAATGGTCTTTTGTTAAAGTGTTCTTTAGCTGGTATAAAGACGTATGCACGTGACTAATTTCTTACTCAAGATTGGATAATTGCTTCATGAATTATTAATGAGTTTTTGAAAGTCATATACAAGGTTATAGTTATGCTTTACACTATCAAAGTTTCTGTGATCAGAATTTTGCATAGGTAAACCCTAACTTTTTAGGGTCTGTAGGAAAAATTTAACCTGGCTGACTAAACCCAGATCGAACGTGAATGGGAGTTCATGAGAGTTCGAAGTCATGCGACCTTAATTCTTCTCAACACTATCTTGTATTATATTCAAGTTAAAAGGAATTTTAAGCACTTATCAAAGCTTTATTTTATAAATCCTTAGAATTTAAAATATCCCTAGTAACAATTCGTGAGTGCCAGCTCTCATCCACTCTCTGATCCTCGTTTGACTAACGCTTTAGTATTACTGATTCTGTTCCCTCAAACATTTCTTACAAATCCTTTACAACATATATAATTAATTAAGCTACCTTGGCAAAATTCCTCATTTGATGACAGAAACTTTGATAGTACCGAAGCAATTTTTTTTCCGTACACACTCGAACTCCTCATTGATAGTCGGACGCATCATTGACCCGCGCCCTTAAACAATATATTCTGCGGATACTCTTCTTATTAGATGCGCCTTCTCAGTGTGTCTTGCGCACGCAATTGGTGATTTCAAAATATTTAATATTGTATTGCTTGGTTGAGATGCCAAAATCTGAGCAGGACACGTACATTGTGGCTTCATATCTTGTGTGCATGGTGATGACATCTAATATATTTTATTTATTAAGTTATATTCGCCATTCCCACGTAACATACTAAACATAATATTAAACATTAAAAGTCCTGCATGATATTTCCTTTATAGTATCAATTCGTAATATTGTCTTAGTAATTAGTTTGTGCATATTTGAACGAGGCAATAAGATCTGATAACATGATATGATATTACTAGTGGACGGATATTCGGCAATACTTCTATTTGTGGAAAGTAATCTTGACGGTCGCTTTGAATCTTCCAGTATTTCCTTGCACGCTAGCTATCTTATCGTAATTCTCTTCAATTGGGATGATATGTAGTTTTAACTCGCAATAGCAGTTCTTGAGTATTTTCGGAACCAGAAAAACAAGTTTGTAGATTCACTATGGCATCGCGAAGCAAATTGTTCATCTTTCTACACGTGGTCGAAGACGAACAACGTGGAGTGATGGATATATGGTGCACCAGTGGGTTACACAGAGTATGAAGAGATCCATCGATAAAAATTAATGCGCAGAGGCCTTTGACGCGGATCGATGACGCATCTTTAATTTTGGTCATGCGATATGTGCCAAATTTATACTACTCAAAAGTCGAGCATTTAAAAAATGTTCACTGCTGTTTTATTTTGTGCTCAAATTAATACAAATTTAACCCTGACATGTGTACTTTAGTATTGCTCATAAATTTTTATACTTTCTTCTCCGGTTTGTCAAAAATTCCCTTGGACTTTCTGTACGATAAACGCAACCTATACAAATTTACTTTACAATGCAGTATATAGAATATTTAAAAGTATATTTAGCTTCATATATGTATACTGTAGTTAAAATTATATCTTTCATTTCAGCAAGCAAAACTTCAATAATTAAATGTCAATTTGAAATGAAATTATATATTTCATTCATAGAGACTCTTGCGATGGAAACGACAATAGTTTTCATGAATCTTATGAATTGGCTATATCTACCGTATACTGCAGTGCTGTAAGTAACTTCGTTACAAGTAGGGCCTAACGAAATTACAAGTAATCGTTACTTTTTGAGTAACTGTAACGGTAACTAGTTACCTTTAAATATAAGGTAACTGTAACTGTAACGAGTTACATTTTGGCCTAAAATGAAACGATAACGCGTTACTTTTACAGCCAAGGTATATACGTTACTTTTTTCGTTACATTCTTGCCGTTAAAACTTACAATTCACCTCTCAGTTCTCGAAATTCTCCTTACGGTTTTCTACGTACGACAACGCATGCTTCAGTGCTAAACACAGCCGAGAGATCCAATAGTATATTAGTAAGGTTGCATAACGTTTACAAATAATTAACGTCAATATGCTGACCACTAACCATTAACTTGAAAAAAAGTTGTTTTTTTCTTACTTGATAAGGTTACAAAAATTTCTAAGTAACTTGGAACTAGTTACAAAAATATTGAAGTAATTTTGCAACGGCAACTATAGTTACATTTTTTTAAGTGTAACTTTTACTAGTAACTATAGTTCCTTTCTTGGGAATGTAATTGTTAACTGTAACTAGTTCCAAAAAATGAGTAACTTTTACAGCACTGACCGTATATCATTAAAAATAGATATATTTGTCAAATGACTGACATTCGTAACATGTTTGGACTTGCTTGAAAGTAAGACTTAGCAACCTGCTGATCTCGCTTTCCATCGCAGTCTTTGCTAGAAGCAAAACAGGACTGATAATATCGGATAACGTACCAGTATCAAAATTCGACAAGTAATGAACGGGAGCAAAATACAAGGATTGATGATCAAATTTGAGTTGTTCTATCTACACGATGGATTAGAAGATCGAAATTGGGAAATGTTAGTTAAATGTCTTAAATATTCACCAGACGCTATTTTTTTATGAATGCTTTTAAATTGCGCGTGATTTAACTGGGACATGCCCATACTTATCTCAGTGCGCAAAATGTATAGCAAGCGCCAGGCTACATTTTCAGTCAGAGTCATGTTACTTCCAGAAGTCGAATCTTCAGTCGAGGGGGTTTATCAACTGCGAATTTAAGTGAAAAAAAAATTGTCCGCATAATAGTTGGAAAGTCGGACGATGGAAACCAAAGCTGAAAAATTGGACAGAAACAATGCAGTATAATTATGCTTCCCATGAAAGCACTCGGTAAATTGATTTTCTCCTAAGCACCTGCAGAATTAATGGGAAATGACAAGAGGTTTGTTTCAAATTCTTTTATTGGTTTATTTTTCAATGGCATAAAAATAATACAGTCTAATTCATATGTGACGGTGAACGGTCTGCGCCAGTTCATGTAAGCAAAGAAACAAATTTAGCTCTCTTAGGTTGAACTCATAAACTCTCTTATAGGTTATTGATAATAGCAACAGCTTCGTGATTAGCTAATGACATAATTATTTTTGACTATTTTCATGATAGCGCCGATATAAATAACTAATAGCTGGAACAATGCTTCATGTCTGCATGCAACTGTAATACTGAAAATATTTTCGCGCATGGCTAATGAAGTTGGTGCGTTTGCAACATATAGAGTTTCCGCCATACTTTAAATCTATGTCAATCTATTCATGTGACAACAAAATAAATATTATTGTAAATATTTTTAATTGAAGGACTATTAACTCAATGGAATAAATGTCCTGTATGCCTATGTCCGATGATTCATGTGTAAAAAATCTAAAGCCATATATTACTCGAAACCCTGGATTATAAATGTTTTACATATAATATACAATATATACAGTAGCACTATCTGATAAATGCTACAGAAATTTCTAAGCTTTTCAAACTTCCAGTCATTGATGTCAGTGATGATTAATTTAAGGTCATATAATGAATCAAGGTCATAAAAAAAAACTTAGCCTGCCCAATTAGTATATCGTATATCGATTACAGCATGTAAACATGAACCTCTCGGTAACATTAATCTAATGCATTATATTTTCTGCATCTACTATCAACATTTGTGCCACATTTTTGGTATTCTCATGTATATATAATACAAAGACGGCTTGAGGACAATGCAATTATATCCGGATATGGCTTACTCTAATCAAAATCCTTTCTACAATAACACTGTTTAATCAAAGTCAAAAGAGTTTCTCAGATTCTATAACCACTTCCAGCTTTTGACAACAATGGTGATTAAGGTCATATAATTAATAAGGTTGTCAAATAAAACTTAACCTGCAGGAGAAATCCGGTGCCGATTACTATACAATATGTAAATATGACCAATATAAGCTGTGCAATCAACATGAATTAACTTGGCGCAAATTTCTGCTAGACTACATTATTTCCGTATTTGCTATGTGCATAAAACATAGTTTAGAGTCAACTTGGGTACTACAAATTATATCCAGATGTGTCCTTCTCAGCATTATAGGACTAATCCTTTTTACGATAACACTGCGTATAGTAGTTTTTGTTACCAGTCGGATACAAATCACGTATACTATATGTAGGTTAATACGAACCAAAAAACCGCTGGACAACATAAATCATATTGACGTTGTTCTACATTCTACTATAGCATTTCTGCTTCACTTCTTGGCTGGAATATATATATATATATATATATATATATATATATATATATATATATATATATATATATATATATATATATATATATATATATATATATATATATATATATATATATATATATATCAGGATATAACTGTGTGCATAATCAATGTTACAATTATTTTTCTGAGTTTCAAAAAATTTCTAAACATAGTCTGGTCTAATACATTGATTATTTGTATGTAAATATGAACAACAAAACTATGGGCAACATCCATTACCCTGGCGTGACTAAACATAATGTATTCTTCATTCGTTATGCAAGAATACTTTTTAGCATTAAAATGGTTTGAAATATATGTCATTCAAATTTTTTGATAATGAAAAATTAACCAAGAAGATCTCATGCAACAAAATAATGAATCTATTCAATTTAAAGAGATCAGATCCCTTTTTGGAAACTGCAGTATACAAACATCTAGCTGTAAGTCTAACCCCAGATTGTCCGACTGTTTCCCAGGCCTCTCATGTTACTAACACAGCTTACTTTCACTTCTTTTAACCTGTGTGCCTGGGTAATATAATAAAATTTATCAGGTGCTTTGCTGGAAAATGTGCGATTATTTTCGTTTTATCCTTGTCATCAACGAAATTATGAATGCAATTTCCAACTATATCCGGAGGACAGGAGTGAGTATACTCGGAAACATATTTTGAGCCCTTGGGAAACCTGCAATATCTACTCGGCTTTATATCTTGATCCTTGTTCGTGCGCAATTATATCATTGAACACAAAAATCATAAAAGCGTTTATTTTGTTTAAGCGTTTATTTTGTGTAAACTTTGTTTTCCCTTAATTGCAGTTAATCAATTGGCCAGAGCAAGTCGAAGAAGAGCCTGAAGAGTATAAGTAAGGAAATTTATTTTATATTTGGCCGTGAGCATGCATCTAACATGTGCTTGTTTCGCCATGATTCAAATTTTCAATGCCAAATGGTAATGCATTGTACTTCCACCGTATACCCACTATATTGCCTATTCCCAATGTAATGAAAACTACGAGTGAATGCTAACTATGGGCGATGTAATGTTCTCTGTGTCGATGCACATATGGGATAGCACTGCATTGTGCGATTGAATGTTGAACAAATTAAACTAAAGATTTAACTAAATCCAAACAGCATTCGTAAGCAAAGCTTAGAATTGATAATCTAAATGAAGTTGCAAGCACAATTCAATACACAAGATATGTCAAATCACAAGCCAGGAAGACCTAGCTTCATAAAATTTTCTGAATCCAGAATGCACTATCGGTTTGCCATAATAATTATTATGAGATATCTTGAAGTACAGTATTATCTATTCTTCTGAGTGGCTGAAGCACAACATGTCACGTATTATAGGAGTAGTTTTCTCCATTTTTAATTGTTGTTATAATAATAATAATAGTTTATTAGGACTCTCTTGCAGTTACAGAAACAACTGAATTAACGAGTACTTTACTATAGATAAGAATATGTTATAAAATAGTACATGGATATGCTTTAGAATCTAGGCTATTTACAAGAGTTAATATCATTAGACATTTACCAAAATAGTAAATAGTGCATGCATAATTATTTACAATTTTCATATATAATAAAAAAAATCTTAACATATTAAGAGTATTTAAATGTAAAAAAGATTGAGTTTTAATTGTTCTGCAATCAGTAACATTATTAAATAGATAAAATCGATCAGCGTTCTGTCTCAAATTAATGTCATGGTCAGGAACAACAGGGATTGGCAATAAGGGATGGTTTTCTCGCCTCGTTCTGACCATGTATTTCAGACATATTTGCACTCTTCTTGTGGTTAAAGTTGGTAATTGTGCAAAATTCAGGGCCTCCGAATATGACTCGCTCTCCGAGAAAATTATCTTTAGTGCTCGTTTTTGGACCGACTCAATTTCCTTCGATAGATAATCCGCAATGTTTTGCCAAATAGGGACGGCGTACTCAAGTACCGGTCTTACTGTGCACAGGTACACTTTCAGTAAATTCGTTTGGTCAATCCCAGCTCTTCGCAGGACTCTTAAAGGGTATAGATTTTTGTTAGCCTTCTTAACAATGTATTCGATATGGGGATTCCATTTTAGGTCGCTACTCAAAATGACACCCAAAGATTTATACGTTGTCACACGCTCAATAATATTGTTACCAACTTGGATTGGTCGGAGTAAGAAATTGGGGTTATGTAGGAAGTTTGTAAGCATTTCCTTACACTTCTTAGGATTGAGCTTCATGTTATGTTCATTAGCAAATTCATGTATATCAGAGACTGCAAAATTAAGGAGGCTGATAGAGTTCCTAGGAATAATCTCGAGAACTGAAGTATCATCCACGAATTTTGTACGGAGATGCCAATTAGCCAGTAAGCTATTTGTCATGACCATAAAAAGTACCACTCCGAGTTTAGTCCCTTGGGGTATTCCTCCCATCAGAGTTTGCCATTGAGAAAGGACACTACCAATTCTAACCGCCTGCCTACGATTGAATAAAAAGGCTGAGATCCAGGACAGCAAGGCAGGGTGAACCTGGAGCTTATACAGTTCTTGTATTAAAATAGAGTGGTCAATTAGGTCAAAACCGTTTGAGAAGTCTGCGAAGAAGATACGAGCACCAGCCTCGCCCCCGTCCAATGCCTCATGAATTGTTTGCATCATGTAGAGAAGGGCATCTGTTGTTGAGTGCTTTTTGCGGGCATATTGGCGAGGGTCGATTTTTCCTTACAAGTCCTTTAATAATCTAGTGCAAGTAAAGCCTTCCATAACTTTTGCCATTGAAGAAGTAAGCGAGATTGGGCGGAGATCATTTTCAATTGTTTGAGGAGGTGATATCTTCGGAACTGGAATTGCGATAGATGACTTAAGTAGTGATGGGATATTCGCTTCTTTCATTGATTGGTTGTAAATATTACGAATGACTGGAGCCAGTTCAGGAGCAAACTCTTTCAGAATTCTATTCGGGATATTATCAGGGCCAATCGCCTTACTAATTTGCAGTGATGCTAATGCTTTAAACACCTCACTTTCCGTAACCAAGAATTCTTCCGGGATTAGAATAGGTGGAGTTGGTTGGCTCAAAGGGGCGAAGTGATCTGTAAGACTAACAAAGAAGTCGTTCACTTTATTAACTAGGGACTCTATATCCATGTTGTTATCAAGGAACTGATGATACCATTTCTGTCGGATATTTTGACCTGATAGTTTTTTAATCTCTTTCCATCACTTTACAGGGTTAACTCTATCAACATCTGCTACCTTACTATGAAAGTAATTGGATTTTGCTGACTGGATCGCACGTTGAACCTTATTCCTCCAAAAACTATAGTCTTTAGAATTTTTTCCTTGTTGTTGGAATACACATTGTCGTCTAGAAATCCACAGTTTTATCGTATTAGTAATCCACGGTCGATCTGTCGGATGCTTTTTAATCATTTTCTGTGGGAGAAAGGTATTAACTGCTTGGTCAAGCTCTGACATAAAGAGGTCAAATTTATCTTTGCTCGTACTCGCACTTAATACCGATGACCAGTTAGGTTCCTTAAAGAGTAATGAGTCAAGATTATTCTGCACATGGTCTCTAAGGACAACATTCTCAGGTTCTTTATTGGATGTTGAATGATATATTACTCCTAGAATAATGGATGTAATTTCTCTTGGGAGTTTATGTGGTCTTAATGAAATCCAAATTGATTCTACATCAGATTGGTCACATGAATCCAAACAGTTACAAGGTATTTTATGATCGAATTATACACAGACCCCACCACCAGAAGATCCTATGCGATTCCTACGAAATAAGTTGAATCCAGGGATAGATACGCAATGATCAGGAATGTCAGGTGATAGCCACGATTCAGTAATGCAAATAACACTTGCAGAGTTTAGCTCTGCAATTTGCTGGAGCTCGTCAATTTTCTTTGGTAATGATCTAACATTAGTGGACAATATAGTCGGGATATCGTAGGATTTTGGGGGATTCTTATTAGTAACAAGGGGAATTGAGATCAGGTTGTTAATATTTCGGGTCTTCCGGGTATAATCCTTAATCAATACCTGATTGTTCTCGTGGGCATATCCATTAGGGGTTGCAAGGTTGGTAAGGGTTGTATGAAAGGCTGCGCGTACAGATGGTTCATAAGTGGGTGAGATATCGCAGGTGGAAAAAAAGGGCCGGGATATGGACTTGGTTCCCGAAAAGGGGATGGAAAACCTCTCGGGTCAGACTGCAGAGGTCGCTGGGAATTAATATAGTGGGAAAAATCGCCGAGGTATGGACTTGGAACTCGAAAAGAGGATGTAAAACCACTCGGGCCAACCTGCAGAGGTTGGTGAGAATCAGCAGAGTGGGAAAAATCACATTTAGATCCCTTTACACAATGTCTCTTTCTACGTAGAAAGGGACAAGGCACTAAATGTTTTGGAGTTTGGGTATTTGGATATGATGGTTTATTAAATCTGGTAGTAGCATTTGGGTTATTTTGACTGGAGATCTTGCTTACATTAACGTTAGTGGAATTTAGATCATTGACATCATTAACTTTAATATCGACTTTTTTGGCTTCAGTGGTTAGTATGAGGGGAATAGGATCGTTTGCTTGGTTGCCTCCCTTTGTATTATGAACATTCTTAATGATTGAGTGGGCAGCCACTGCATGTGGTAACTTCGTTATTAAACACCGGGTTTCCTCCTGAGAGAATGCTATTCTGTTTAGACGTATGTGTAGGGGTTTGCGGCCTTTTGTCTATGTTTGTTTTAGTTTTGCGAGATTTAGTAGTTTTTATAAGTCCCGCTCCTTCGTTATCAAGCACAATAATCGGTTCGTCGCTCAGTCCACTTTGAGAATGGGTTATATCGCTGTCTATCTGAGTCATTACGGATTTAGTTTTATTCAAGCAATTGTTGTGTGGGTCGACATTTGCATCCTTTTATTTAGAGCAATACTCATAGTGCTGATGAGAATCTTGATATAAAATTTTTAGAGTAGTTGTAAGGCTATCTTTTTGCTTCTCAAGATCTTTTACTTTATAATTCAAATCAGATAAAGCGTAGTTAGTTATGTGAAGACTATTTTTCAAAGCGTTGTTTTTTTCTATAAGTTTTGTATTTTCTTGCCGTAATCCATTTACGCATTCAGGCCCATTATTTAGGCAGTAGTTCTTTAAAATATTCATATCGTTAACCACTGTTAGAATTTTATCCATAAATTTAGACTCAAAATACTTGATTTCGTTTTCAATTTAATCAATTCTATTAGTCGTATTTGTAGGCAAAGGTGCAGTTTGATCAATTGCTTCGCTCATACCTGCAACTTGTTCTCCCAGGCTAGTACAGCCCATGTGGATGTCTTTAACAACGTTGGCTTGCTCACCTAAATTAGAACAGCCATTGTGCTTGCCTTCATCAGCGTCGATTAGTTCACAATTTTTAGGGATTTCATCCTGACAATCGGCAGCTTTTCCTGATATAGACGTCAACAAATTAGTAAGGTCTAATGTGTCACTAAGACCTCCAATCACCGTTATCCATTTAGTAGACTTCCCATGCCATTTTGTACTTAAATTATCACTCGTGAATAGTTTGACTTCGCCGCCAGGTGAAGTCCAACGACCTGTCAGCTTTAGATCGTCTAAAACAATTTTTTTCAGCTCACACCACGTACTGGCCCAATAAAATCTCTCTCCGTTAGTCTTTAGATTCAAATATAATTCGTTGGCCATAGTTACTAACTATTGTGGCGATATTGACTGAACCAAAATGGAGTATAAAGATAACATCGTTTGAAATACCTCACATCACACCACTGCAAACATGCTGAATATTAGTAGAAGTTATATTTTAATTAACACTGCCATGTAATGTGAAATGCCACAATTAACCATTAACCATGATTTTCACATTCTCGATTAAACAATTGTAAGTGGCTGTTATAGGTGCATCCTTAATTGTCATATTTATAAACTCTAAACTCGAGTGTCCAATGCAGTCGAAAAACCTGGAATCCGGGATGTAAAAAACAAGTTTCTTTTTAAAAGATTCCAGGACTCTCTAAGAATTTTCGCTGTGCCAAAGAATATTTTTTCGCAATGCCAAAATATATTACCTATATCATTCGAAAAGCGCACATAAAACTGATCCCAAAACGCCTACACATATATAGGTACCATTCCAGTTATAATTGTACATAATTTTTGAATTTTCTGCAAGATCTCGGTACAAATTGTTTTGCAGTTTCATACCCACAACTCCTCTTTTACCTAGCACTGCAACATTAACAATCTCACATATATAGCACATGAGCTTTGATCTACTACAACAATATCTGGTCTTCTAGCTTGGGTAATATGCTCTGCCTGAATAGCAAAATCCAGAGAATCTTAAACTTTACATTTCACAATATATTACTTGTTCTGGTCTACATACTCATTACATGTTCTGATCTACATACTTCTTTCATTGCTCTAATCGCCTGAAAAAATTGCCTGCTTCAACCATGCTCATATATGTCGTCACAGGCGATTTCTTCAGTTAGTCTTAGAGTCTGTCTATCCAAACGACCCTGCATGAGGTTTTAAACCTTTTATCTCTATAACGTTTTTAAAACTATCTACGTTCTTGGTTTCTCGTTGAAATTCACCCACTACTACAAATCTCAGAACTCCGTATATACCGGAGACAAAATGGCATCATAGCGAACACATTTTAATGATGCTCAAATTTATATTCAGTGCGCTATATTTTTAAAAATATGACTCTGTTTGCTTTCTAAATACAACAAAATTACTGCTTTACCTTCTGTTCAAATAGTTCCACAGATAAATCGAAGTCACAACTCGTACTACTTGAAAAAAAAGCTGTTTTTACTGTAGAAATGACAACTTCCCAATATAATTTTCGATTGTCAACACTGCATTACACTTGTTTAGCTCGCGCATGCGCAGTATAAAAGATGGGACATGTTTCCGCTTGAGTAAGACTTCTGGTCCTATTATCTATTCTGTGACTAGGCCTTCTGGGCTTGCTTCCTCCGCCCCGCCCCCAAATCACCTAGTCCCAGTCTTTTCCTGTGAAAAAGCGCTGAATATTAAAAAATATAAATAAGACTAGAAGGCCTAGGTCTAGGCTGGGTTCAAACTACAATCGTGGCCAAATGTTGTGGAACGTAAAGTGTGATTTCGTGTTTTTACCCTTAATTTGAATAATAAACCCCCCTTCCCCCCAGTCACTGTTGATTGGGATTGTTTTGTGCTCGGAATAAGCATGACACGATCTCGTTTAGTAACGTTAGAATCAACGTTGGAAAGGTGGGCCGGGGGAGTTACTTTTTTGTGAAGTCTGTGACAATATTATAAACTCGCACGCCTTTAAACAATTAATTAGCTAGCGTTCCAAAAACATTTGGCCATGATTGTAGGCAACCTCGTTACCAGGCTCTTACCTTCGCACGCCCCAAGCTGCGGAAAGACCCTGGTGCTGGCTGGTCACGTGACTCCTGGGATATTAAATTACCAAGGAAGGGATGGCAAATCTAAATTACAATGCTTCCACTTTGCAATAGTAAAATTCGTTGGCAAGGAGCGGACGTATTGGTTTGAATTGCAAAAAGTGTAATTTGAGAGCACTGTATATCGCAATTTGTCATTGTATAATTTGTATTGAATACTTCGAGGAATAGTTCGTGTCAAATTGACAATTATGCGCGCGTTTGTGTTCTTTTTGTCATTCACATGCTGCTAGGCCATAGAAGCAAAGTTGATAATTTCAACGGAGACTCGAACGGAGATGCTCGAGTTTCATTGCATTTCTTGCTTGTTTGGAATTTGTTGTTCTAAATAGCGCATTTCATAACAAGTTAACAACATACTGCACTGAAGCCGAACCAACTAAGCAAGTTCTTTGTTTGGAAAGTATTTATTTATTTATTCAATTTCGCCAGGTTAAATTACACGTTTGATAACATTGTGTTCAAACTTCGACAAGAGTTGCAATTTAAACATACAGATCTCCGTGTTCTTGGGTCCTGCATCAAAACAACTGTGCAGGGCTTTCAAATAATACTGTCGTAAAGCACACGAGCAAATTTTATTTTGACAAATTTCATTTGATAAAATGCATTTGATCAAAGGCTAGTATGCTAGCTTGCTAGTTTTTGTTCAAATGCATTTGTCACAATAAATTTGTCACAAATTTATCATCCACACGAGCAAAATATCTTTGACATTCAATTTGCCCGTGTAAACGGGCTTAACAAACTCTTAAATGTACTTAATTAAACATATATTATTTATTCGACAAAAGATGTTATTTATAATTTGTATCCTGCCAACGCTTTATATGGAAAGTCTCTGATTTTCATCTGACCCATTGTTGATGTTTGCAAGGGATCATATTTAATAAACAATTAAGTCGATTTTCTTTCTCCATGGAAATCATTTGAGATATCTACTCAGGACGGTTCGTATATTGTTATAGTTGTGTCTCCCTTGAATTACTGATAGTGATACAAGATCAAATATCTCGACTGAAATCAAGTGGCCTTCGCGCGTCTGCCATTCTATAAATATTCGCAAAAAATATTCCATGGAGAAATCACAATTGGATTGCACATTTTGGGTTTAAATGGGGATTACTAACATACGTATACGGATGACTATATATTTATTAATTGCGGTAAAGTATATTGGTAGATGATATTCATAAACAATTGACTTACTTCTGTTGACATGGGTAAAGGTGTAGCAGATCTAGTTTCGTCACTCGAGGAGGACACATTGACAAAGTCAGTGTAAAAGCCAAACTGCGCCTTCGACTTTCAACTGCAGCAACATTTGCCGAAGATTGGCAACGGATAAAAAAACGTCAGGGCATCGCTTGGATCGCGAATCTTTTACTAATGATTTCTGTGTTTCGGAAATTACATTCTTGAACGTCGTTTACAAGGACGGCACTCGATCGGCAGATCAAATAAGGAAAATCATCAACATGCGGCAGTCTCTCGCCATGAATCAACTCCGTGTTATTCAAAATTCTTTAATTTGTTTTGTTGAAGAGATTCTTACAATGTATCTGATCTTGTACACCATTATATAATCGACAACGAGAACTATTTTCAGTTGATCCAGGAGATCTTTTTGTAAAATTTCTTTGGCGTGCTTTTGCTAAGCCGAAATAGTGACAGTGAAATATGAGATATTTGTAATCCTTGATAGTAATTTGATACTCTTTCGGCTGCAACACATGATTAATCTGTTGTTTAACTTGTTTTAACATTTCTTCAAGAAAAAATATTTTATTATTGTCTCGTACAGTTAGAATTTTACTATTTTACAAATTCAGAAACAATTTCAATACGTACAAATCATTTCTACCACCCCTCCCTGAATAGCAATTTATTTTAGCACCCAAAATCTGGGAGCCACGTGACCAGCCGGCACCAGGGTCTTTCCGCAGCTTGGGGCGTGCGAAGGTAAGAGCCTGGTAACGAGGTTGGATTGTAGGTTGCGAATTGCGATTTACATGATATTAAAACTAAAAACCGCCCAGTGACTTGGGGCTCCAAAAATAAATTTCTTCGAAACTTTTACCGTGAACTACATTTACTTTAACAACAGACAAACGCTGTTTGGAATTTTCAAAATATATTTAGACATTTAGTTTCAAAGTTTTAGCGATTTTTTGGTCTCGCACCGTCGCGGGAGAAATTCGCCGGCTAATTAAACGAAAAAATTGGCTGAATTTAAATAAACATAATTTTAAAAGTTTTTGTTCAAAATTTCTGATATTCACACCCAGCACCGGAAAACTATCGTAATTTCATCTAAACTAACTTAGGTTTTCAATTGCGGAGCATTTGTGACAATATTTAGCGACAAAGAACGCCATGTCAAAATACGGCTTTCAAATCCTACTATATTCTACGCTGAATTTCTTAAAAGTGGGACCTAATTACATACAGTGACTAGTATAATTGGAAAAAGGACACTTTGAAGTACTAAAAACCGTAATAAAACTCGTCTGCAAACGCGATTTGAACAATTGAGAGCGTTTGAAATTTGATACTCTTTATGGCCTTTTGTTTACATTAGAATATTGCTGAGGTCAGACGTCTGAGTTCGTGTCACTGCTAAAAATGCGCTGTAGTTCTGCCAAATAACCTTTCCCTCAAATAAGTTTATAGCAATATAGTACTAATCTATATTTCTTTGTTTATGTCCACCGTAAATGGTTCCAAGGGATTTAAAATAATAGGCATGTTAAAATAAACAACTTGACCAAATTAATATGCTACTCGGGGAAAAGGCCGCATGCAGCGCGAATTCTATATGTGGCACATGCTATATTTAGTGTGATTTAGAGTTTGCGTTGCAGCTGATACTAAACTATTGCTTAGTTTGAAAAGTCTATATATGTGCGAAGTTTAGTTCTGGAACCTTTCTGCGAAGTTGATCTTTGAATTATACAGAATTATACGGAATTTTTACATGAAATATCAAGCGAAGAAATACGCTATATGACCAGTATGCCCAAACCACCGGTACAACTTTTTACTCGGGCTAGTAAATCTAATTATCAGCATGTCGCTGTGATACTACAGTATACCTCTAATTTCCAATGTTACCATGCGAATGCCGCACTGGCCTACTCGCGGTGCAACTCTAATTATATTGCCTATAACAAATTAACAATGCGATTATATATCTCTAATTTGGACTATATTTAT